AAGAAAAAAAACCAAAACAAAAGAAAAGAAAAGAATGCAAAAACAAAAAATATTTAACAAAAAACAAAACCACAAAACACCCCCATCCCCCCTAAAAACCACAAAAAATAAACAAAAAGACCCCCCCCAAAAAAACAACAACAAAAAAAACAACAAAAAAAACAAGTGAAGGTTAAAGTAGACGACAGTACATGGATACCTAGAGAACAGGGAAGGATGTGAAAGGAGAAAACTTTAGAGAAGAAATGTTTCAGCACTTTCAGGTTTCGAACCTGTGACCTTTTGAAAAAATACAAACAAAACAAAATCCAATCACAGACACACATACGAGTACAATCAAGTGTTTACTTCATGACTAAATGACCATAAGGATAATAAATGTATATTAACCTCCGTTCTACTTTCGCCCTTTTTATCAGTGTTTTGAAGTGTTTTATTGTCATGTCGACATTTCGTCATATGAGATTAAAAGGGTTCTATCTGCCTTGTTTTTGGTTGTTTTTTAAAATTACATTTTTGTTTTTTGTTTTTTAAATATTTCGAGTCATGGCTTGTTGTGATTTCTAGCCTTGCTGCAACGCACAAGATAGTGACCCGCATTTTGTTCTGTTCTCACTTCTTTGTGTTTCTCAGCTGGATCTCAGGGGAGGTCGATTGCCGGTTTTTTCAACCTGCAGTGCAACTGATTTTCACGTTTTGGCCGTTTTTCCTACTTGTACTAACATTTACCAGCCTCATTTTGGTTACGACGGTACTCTTTATGATTTTATGCTGACCAGAATATTTTCCGGTTTTGGTAGGAATTAATTTTGAGTTGTATCCGGTTGGCGGCCGAAGTCTACTCGTCTCGATTGTAGGAAAACCAAAGGATGTTAAACTTGCGCAATTCGTACGCGGGACCTCCTAGATTTTTGGCCCGTATTCGAGAAGGTTAGGAGTACAGTCTAACCTAACTGAGATCAAGGATGTTGCCGAAAGACAGCTGTAAGAAGGAACCAGGAGTAGCAATAGAAAGAGTCAAGAGTAAAGTAGAAAGAAGACCAGAGAAGGCCAGAGATCGGGATGGGAGAGGGTGG